CTAGGATTCCTCATGCAGTTGGAATGCATTGGCCTTCTCGCTAATAAGGGAAGAAGGTGCAGAAATGCAAAAATGACCGTCTCTCTTTTATATACATAAACAGAAGTGAATTATTAGTCACATGATGGAGGAATACAACGATGCAGTTCAGAGGGCTGCAAGACTTTCAGCGGCAAGGGAAAGTTTCCTGACAGGAAAGAAAAATCCGGTGAACGTAGTGACACAGGAAGATCTGATGATTTACACCCGGTGGTTAGTGTGTCACCTACACTCTCTGAAGGGCATTCACCGTTTTCTCCAGGTAAGATGAGCATTTTTTGAACAGTGAAGTATAATTATGAAACATTCAAGTCTTGGATAAGAAAGTAAACCGAGGAAGATCAAATTCGATGTAAAAGAAATCTAGAGGTTTGTAGGTAATGAGCTAGACCACGTACATATGACTTTCAATTCTTTTAGCAGATTGATTTTACTAGGAAGGAAATACTACAATGATAAAGCTGACTTTAGGTAAGTGGAATAATGAGCTCCCTGGGTGCAGGGTAGGTAGTGTTGGGCTGTTTGGATTTGAGGACATCCAGGGTGAGAAGGAGAAAGCTTGGAGAGACTTTTTTCTGTATTGTTACCGTGATGATGTTTTGATAGAGCAGCCACTCTCAAGGGGCTGAGTCGTCTCAATGAATAGTCTGTAGACTTGAGGAGTATTTGTTTATTTAAGCGTCACCTTTCAAAAACAAATCTGAATACTTCCTTATTTTATCTAGTTTCTTTAATGATTTAGTTACATAAGTGCTACAAGTCATTGACAGTGAATAAACTTCTGGAATTATACACAATGGATAACTATGGTTTGGGTTTTCTCTTTTGTGTTTTATTTTATTACTAAATTTGCAACTGAATAGTTTGTATGCTGTCTAAATGATTGAGAATAACAACAGATATGTTCTTAACTCCAGGTTCTCCAGCACTCCAGCATTTGCCTATTTCTCACAGAACGAATGTGGCCGATGAGAAACATCCTGATGTGGTCCAAGACAACTGGGACAAATTAAGAAATGCTTTTGGCAAGAATTCAGATATTTTTAATACCGATGTGTTTCCCTTTTCAAGAGTTTTAAGAAGAAATGATGAGAAATTACCAGCTTTCCTTTAAAACCACGAGTCCTACAGATAACACTTTTGTTGAGGTATATTCTTTGAGAAAGGTCAACAGTGCAAATGTTGCCATCCTTGGTTTGTATGCTTGAGAGATTTGGAGTTTGGCTTTTAAAGTCAGCAAGAATCCTGGAAATCTGGTGTCCAAATTCCAGAGTGTGGAGCCCTGAATCTGCAGTGGTCACTCCTCTGGCCTTACTGTGCCCTGGGCTGCAGAAACAGGCAGTTCAGAAGGATACTTGTGGGATCAACTCGGTGGAGAATGCGGGATGTTGTCCCAATTGTGCCAAACCCTGAAACTCACCCTTGCAACTTTCTGCAAGAATATTATTTAAAATATTTCTGTGGGTGGCCTGTTTCTGGAGAAACTAAGAGAAGGCAGTTATTGTTTTAAGACTTATACTGAAGTATCTCTAGAAAAATCTCCTTGTGGTTATTTTCAAGTTCTGTTTCCTGTTGAAGGAAGGGAGGGAATGATGTTGCTTATGTAGAGTTACCCATGTGACCCATGTGAATGGTACTTAGCGAGCAAGGCAGCATTCCTGTTGCAGAGTGTTTAAATCCTATGATTTAACCCATGCTTTTACAGACAGAGTGGGAACGGTGTGGAACTGTAGGAGCTCACAGGATTGTCTCTGGAAAAGCACAACCCCTCTCTGCCGGGGACTAGGCAGGGCGCACGCCTCCTCCTTGCAGTCCAGACGTGGGCTGGCCAGGGTGGAGGAACGACAAGGGGCTGTGACTTGTCTTCCCCGTCTCCTTTCCCCACTGAAGACCTCTGCCACAAGGGGTGTGCCTGTGGGTCTGCACGGGGGAGCGAGGCACAGCCCTGGCCCAGAGTGGCACTGCCCAGCTGGTGACAACTGGTTGAAAACAGTGCTAAGGAAAGTGCAGATTTACCTGGGACAGATAAGGGGCCTTTAGCCCTTGGTTAGTGGTCTAACTAAGCTCTAACTGGTCTAACTGGCTGTACTGGTGCAGCCCTCTTTCACTCCTTAGGCCCAAGGGGGTCTCAGGTACGCATGCTGGGGAGATGTGGCAGCGCTGCCCCAGGAGTACAGCGCTAGCGGTGTTAAGGAGCAAGGAGAGGAGAGTTAAACTCTTCTCTCCAAACAAAGTCCCTTGAACAGGCCAACGTTTCTCTCATATGAGTGGGATGGGAGAGGGAAGGATGAGCCGTGATCTCGGATACAGTGGGCTAATAATGTACGGAGAAGGGTGCAAGACCTACAATGTTATAGAGTTCACCTGAGCCATTCATTTTGCCATAGAGTAGACTCTTATTGCTATTACAAAGCAACTCAGAAGTGCTCTAGCTCATTTTGATCTTTAGTATCTAGTTATCTAATATTTGAGGAACTGTATCATATTACCATCATAAGCTTCATCCATCTGCTATCTAGATCTGAGCTTCATAGATGAAACAACGGAATGATTAAACAAGACATTAAAAACAAAGCTGAAGTAAAGCATGGAATAGAACCGCAGATGGCCTTTTATTGCTGAAACAGTGAGGTAATAAATTAGATTACATGTAGTTCCACTAAACCCCAGGAGTTTTGCTGAACTTTAGCAAACTGCAACTTACTTATTAGCATCTTTGCGTGTATCAGCAGTACCCATCAGCACTGGGTAAAGGAGAATCAGTTGATACTTATTTGGACTTTCAAAAATCTTTGGAAAAGAAGTAGCAGATAAAGTGCTGCTGTTATGGCTTGGCCTGAGACAAAAAAAAAAGAAAAAGCGATTGGAATAATGTCCACATTTCTGTACAGAGAGATGATGGCATGGGGCAAACTAAGATTCTGTATAAAAAACAGTGTTAAACATGCTTGTCAAAGAGCTGAGAAAAGAGAAAAAAAAAGTCAAAACTTAGAGGAACACAGTCATTTTGGCTGTTCAAGGATGAAGAAATACCCATATCCTCCAAAGCCTTGAGAAGCCTGAGGTGAAGTAAAGAAGGAGGAGAAAACATTTCAGTTCTTCTAAAAATGGGTGCTATGTTGCCAACAGACTCTTCAACACTGACACCAGGCCAAATTCAGCCATCCCCAGTACACCCTTGTTTCAGAAGTTTGTGATAGCAGCATCATGCCAGAATCAAATACCGGAGGAGTGATAACCCTGAAATAGTAACATACTTGAAGTTCTTGTGGCATGTGAAGATTTGGGAGGTGTGTGTGTGAGAAGAATGTTGTACACCCCTGAGCCACAACTCTGTTCAGGCAGTAAGATTTGTTAGTTGGCGTCCTTTCCGTGCTGGAAGATAGGCACTCCTCCAAGGACCGTGGAGGTGCCCTGACCTGCAACAGCTGTTAGTCTTTCGGGGTCTGGTGGAAGGCCCTTTCTTAGAAGAAAAATGAAAATAAAAAAAATGCATACGATGTGGGTTCCCATCCATTCCATTGTCTGGCATACTTCTGCTTCAGGACAAGAAAAGGGGAGTTAAATCATTGCGTGGATGCAAAGCAAAGGGCACTGACAGCATTGCTTAGTCACCTTACAGTCATGTTGCTTAAAGTGTTGATGTTCTCCAGCTGGTCTGATGATGTCTTTTTGCAGGATCCTGCCACAAGGACACTAGATTCACTTTGCCCCGGCACAGCACTGAAACCGAGGAGCTGAAGCCTTAGCTCCAGCTTCTGCTTTCTCATTTTGGTATTAACTACAGCCTTAAGGATCTCAAGAACTCGGTTGATGAGATGGAGCTCTTTTCCCTGGTAACTGAAATGTACTTCTTAATATGACAAAAAAAAAAAAAAAAAAAAAAAAGAAAAAAGAAGTCTTTAAAAGTATGGAAGGAAGTTCCATTTATTACAAGTCAGTGTTTTACGTCATGGAAAAATAAGATTGTGGGCATTTTTGCTCTTGACAAGAAGCAGCAGAAAGGCCCGGCTCGCTCTTACTAAGCTATATAGTAACTGCTGACGTTCGTATTTTCAGCATCTGCGTCCGTACCTTTGTTCTGCCAGCTCTCACTCGTGCTTTTTGTGCGTTTTTCTCGAGATTTCCTGCCCTTGTTCGGTGTCTCTCCGAGCTGTGGAACTTCCACTAGAGGTCGGCTGCGACACACCATCGCCCAGGACCTCGCCGAGCCTCCGCAGCTCAGGGGCTACCAGCAGGAAAACTCTGGTTTTCATTTTTTCTGTCATCCAAAAGGCAAAACCAACTGAAAATCTCCACCAACATGTGTGCAGGGTCCCAAAGAGATGCATAACTGTTAAACGTAAATAACATACTTCTTTTAAATACATGGCTTGCCTTACCAATCACGCCTTGTATGAGAACAGGTGGTACGGCTGAAAAGGACAAAGGTTTGGTTGCATAAACTGGTCCGTAAGTCTTTCATCAAATTAACATTTGACTAGTCCAGCTGAACTCAGTGAACTACCTGAGACAAGCACAGGCAGACGTGTTTACACAACTGGGCGATGATGTAAATTACCTTTATTGCGGGCTGGCAGTGGCTTATTCATTTTTGAACAGGATTTTCAAAGTACATCTTCTAGGCTAATGCTATTCCTACCGAAGCCAGTGATAATAAATTTGCCATTGGCTTTGAATGAAAGACAGTGTTTTTTAAAATCCTGGTCTTCTTTTTGGAGGCTCCAGAGTTAACAGCTAGAAGTTTCACTGTGTCTGCTGGAAAGGAAAGAAAACACAGGACCAGAATGTTTCCTTTGTCACTTTATCACTCCTTTTTTTTTTTTTTTTTGGCTGATAATATGCAGTATTACTTTGCTATAGGATTTAATATCTGGCTTGGGAAATTTATAACAGTACCATCTCCTTTTATGCTTTAGGTTGTCCAAAAATTTAGAAGCATCTTCTGCAAACAACAGACGATGAGAACGTTTCCAGTTTATGACGCAGAAGTTTCTCGGCCAGAGAACTGGGGCGTGCTAGATCCAGCCAAGGCTTTGAAAAAGAAAGGCAACTGGATCCCATTTTTAAAGGTAATTATAAGGAACTTTCCTTTTTCACTTATGTTAGTCCTAACCAGTCTTCAGGATGTACCAAGATATATTTCAGCAATTAAAGTCTAAAATGTTTCTTTTGACAAAGAGTGATGATTTTTTTAATAATTCAGGCCTTATCAAACTACTATATTTCTGTATACTACATTTCTGTATTTCATGTCTGTTGAAAATAAAAAGTGAATCTATTGCACTTTCTTTACTAAATATTGCCTTCTATACCAAAAACATGTAGCGATATTCCTAAATTTTGTGGTTACTTTTGTGTTAACCAGATTAAGCCTAAAGTAGATCCCTGGCAGCAAAAGCTTTTGATAAAACTGAAACAATGGAAAAAAGTGGATAAGCTGATGGACCTTCATTCAAAATTTGTAGAGGTAATACGACTTAAAGTGATTTAATTTAAAGTGATTTTTATTTATTTATTTATTTCCAGGGAAATTGAAATCTCTACAGAAAGGTTGCCTCAGGTTTATGTATCATGTGTATATGCCTGAATTCATTAAAGATCCATTACTAAGGTGCTATAGAGATTCCTCCCCCCCCCCCGCCTTTTTCTCAGTTCAGCAGTTTCAAAAGGCGGCTTGAACACTTGCATAAATATTAAAAAGCTCTGAAGTTCACGTAAGTCGGGGCAAAATCAGCCCCAGAATTTGTGTCAAAGGGATTGCTCAGAACAGCTTTTTTTTAATGTGACCAAGGTTCAGACTTGTGCTCAAAAGGCAAGGAGAGATGCTCCAATAGTGAGGTACAAGTCTAAAACTTGGTAGGGCACAATGTGCCCCAGGGAGAGGTTACTGAGTGTCTCTATTTTGGTTTTAACTTCACAGGTTCTCGTGATTCTGGTGATATATTGCCATTTTTGGCCATTTTGAGGATGTCCTGCAGGACAGCTCTGTCTAGGCTGACTGCCATCCAGCCTCCTTGGAAAAATGGCAATGTGCATTCACAGATCAGGCCTGCTTTGCAACCACGACGAGCCTGAGGCACCCCTAGCACCTCGCATCATCGTCTTGCAAATGGTGATCATCTGTGAAGAGAAGTATTCATTTGTCCTAATTGCATCTCATTCACTGCGTGTACCCTGCAGGGCTGACTTGCTTATGCCCAGTAAGCTCTGCTCATTCACGCCTGCTGCAGATGCATGGATGGACTGCAGGGGTGTGACAGGCTGGGCAGGTGTACTGGGGCCTTGCCACATTTTTCCAGTGAAATTTGAGCAGCTCTGGTATCCTCATCTGTAAAAGTGGTATAACAGGAGTTTTCTGCCTCTCAAGGATGAGGAAAACTGATGCAATTAAGATGGTGAACTGCTACTATAGGACTGGATCTGTATAAATATCTCAGCTAGTAAAACTGATCTGGCAATCGGAGGATGAGACTGCTGCCTCTCATCCCCTGGTGAGCGTGAAGCACTATGAACAATAAGGACACCTTGTAGTTCAGCTCCCAGTTTTACACAGGAACCAGAAAATAAATCCCTTCTCTGAAGCTGTGGAGGAGTCGTGCCCCCATGTGCCCTCTTCTACCAATAATCACATTCCTGCCAAACAGAAAGTCCTTGGTGAGCTGTCTCTTTCTTCCTTTAGTACCCAGGCGGTGTTGGGTACACCAGAGCAGCCTAAGCCATGTCTCCAGCTCATGTCAGGTTATTTCAGCCCTGAAATGTCACTGGGCTCCTTGGTCTTCTCTCCCCAAGGAACCACCGCTGCAGTCCATCCAGATACCTCTGTCCTTAGGCTTGAAGATCCCCTGCTGTCTAGAAGGGGGGTAGTGGGCTTGTTGCAGAGCCCCAAATGATGCTGTGTACGTGTTCGAGTTGTGGGCAAGCCTTGATTTGGGACCCTTGCGGGGGTTGCTGCCTTCCTTGGGGGTGCTAGCTGGAGAGGGGAGACGGATGCTTCCCGTCTGCCTGGGGACTGTGGATGGCACGGGACAGAACGGAGGAGAGGGTGTCAAAAAAGCAACCAAAGCAACGTGGAAACACCCAGAAACAGGCAGAAGCAGACAGTGCCAGCTCAGCAGGGTAGAGCCCTCGGTGCTGTAACCATGGATCGCATGCAGGGATGGCGCCTGCTCTGCTGCCCAGCTGTCTCAGGATTACTTAGGATCCCATCAGTATCCTATATCCTCTTTAGGTGGCTACTTGCTTTGCCTACACCTGAAGCTGACCTCAGTGAAACGGCAACAGGGAGCCTTCATAAACAGTTTCTGTTGGGCTGAAGGCAGGAGGACGATAGGGCTGTGCTAGAGCAAACTGCCCTGTGGCTTGGGAAAGGGAAAATGGAGGCTCCTGGCTTCCCACCCTGTTCACCTTCACCCAAGCCTCTTCCCACTGCCTGACTTCTGATTTTGTGTTTCAGTGTCTAACAAGCCTAAAAATAAATACAACTCTAAGGGAACAAAGGTGCTTGGCAGTGGAATGCCGGATGGTAACAGTGTTCAGTAGAGACACAGTAACGGATCAGAAGTTGTTGACTCCCAACTAGTAAGAAAGCGAATGAAGGAAATGCTTGGGAAATGAATGGAAAAATAATTTCCATACGGTTTAGTATTTCATTTACATTTTTATTAAAGGCTGCTTGCTCCCCTGCCCCCCCTTTTTTACATTTTTTTTTTCCTCTTGTGTTAAGCAAGGTTCCATTTGTTTTGACTTTTCAGCATCTTTGTTCAAAACAGGTGATAAAGAAGAGTTCTATAAAATTCCTGATCTTAATCCCCTTAGAATTCCTGTCAATGCTTTGCTGATGCCAATAATTGCTAAAGCATGACCATGTTCTTCAAATTATATTTCTGTTACAAGTGGCAATTTAAAAAAATTTTTAAAAAATCCTGCATGATTAGATGTGTTTTTTAAAAATTACTTTTATACTACTACTACTTTTATTTAACCTGTTTTTTGGCAGTACTCTGTATATATTTAGTTTCCCTGGTTCCTATTTAACATTCATTATTTACTCTCGTGGATCTCACAAAGCATTTGAGAGAGAACTCTTTAAATCACAGAAATCAGAAAGTGGATGTGTAGACTGAAGTTGGCTTTACAATATTTTAAATAATGGATTTGATTTTGATGATACTCTTAGATAAGCCATTTATGGTCTTTTTTTTTTTTTTTTTTTAGGACTGAAATAAGCTTTCTTTTATGATCCGTGTTTTCAGACCTTTTCCCCATGCCAGATATTTCACAAAGAAACCATTCTTTCAAATCTTGCCACAGCATGTAATTTTTCTGGAAAGCTTGGGCGAAAGCCATCATCACCACTAACAAAAGTAAAAATGGCTTTGCAGCTCACTGAGACAATGAAAAAAGATCATTCTCCTTGTTTTTTCCATAGTTGCTTCCTCACCAAATACATGTCTGGTTTTGGTCAAGAAACACGTACACCTATTTAAGGGTGAGGGGTAACAGGAAAGGAGAGAGAGGATTACCCAGTAGTCCCTCCCCTCCATAAATCTCAGTTAGAAAAAAAGTGCTTTTGTATTACGTCTTATCTAGTGTATTCCCTCCATATGCTGTGACAGGCAAGTCCATTTCTACATTTTCACCTTGGAGAGGGGTCCGCAGACAACTTTCCCAAATAAAGGAGAAGCAGTAAGGAGGGGTGCTGCAGAGGCTCCCTCACTAGATGCTTTGAATTGACCTTGACTCACTGCAGGATGGGGGCTGGCACGCTGACTTGTTTGCCTTGTGAATCTTTTGTCTGTATTCGATGTGGTTTGAAACAAGGTCTCGGACATAGAGACAGTGATGGAGGGTCTCCAGGAACATGCGGCAGCGGTGTTCGAACCGCATCCTGTGCTGTCAAGTTCTACCACTTCTTCTCATGCCTCCGGACAGCAGAGCTACGATCATGTCTGGAAGGAGGACTGCCTGCACTGAGCTCCACCAGGTACTTAGAAGGGGAAATGATGAATAATGGTCAATTAACAAGTCTAGCAGGCGTTTGTCAGCTCTGACAGAGGGCTTCTCTAACAGATTTCTGCGTTCCCCTTTTTCAAAATTCAGTCTCCTGCTACTTCTGCTAAGCAGGAGCTGCCCAGCTGCAATGCATGGTTGCATGCCCTAGCTGCATAAGTGATGTCCTTTCCCCCTTGGTGCTCACTAGCTGCTGTGCCGCCACCGGTCCAGTCATAGCACAAGCAGCATGAGACTGCACCTACCTAAAAATAACATGCATGCATGCTTGTACCAGGGCTGGGGTGTGGATTTGGTGGCAAGAAATAGAAGTGTGCCCTAGTATTTACTGGAGAGCGTGGTATTAGGCAATGGGTGAGCACGTGTGTACGGAGGAGAGGGGAGGAAGGATGGCGAGATGCCTTGGAGGCCATCCAGAAGCTGAGCACCCGTGGACTTGACAGCAGATGCCTGCTTTGTGCAGGGGCAGGTGTGATAGCAAGTTCCTCCTCTCGGGGAGGAAGCGGCGTTTGCGGGCATGGCCTCACGGAGGTTCAGAGGCTGTGAGAGCAGAAGCTGTGAGAGACCTTCAAGTTTTGGAGAGGGGGGGAAAACCCATAAATGGCATAACTGGCAGGGTAGTGAATGAGAAGTAGGACCTACCTCTCCGGTGTCTGGGGAATTTGTAGTAACTGTGGCATGCCTTACGTGGCGAGCTCTGTGACTAATCCTCTGAATTTGAAGGTATCCCTTTGATGCAGAGGGACATTGATTCCCTATTTCTTTATTGTCCTTCTGACTCAGAAGTCGTTCACAGCTGTTGCTTTGATGAATATAAAAGCATTACGCACAGAACTGTTACATCCCAGAAGTTCCTGTACCTACAGCCCAATGCTTCATCTGGCTCACTCCACCCGTGCCCGCCTGCCCGCACCAGTGGGCCCTGGCGGCAAGTTAAGAAAGGACTGAAAAATCTCCTTGCTCCACTGTTGTTTTTTAATCAGCTATTGGGGCTGGATGCAGCCCCAATGTTAATGAGAAGGTCTTGCACTCCTGCACTTGGCCAGGACCAAGCAGGGCAGCGAGTAATTCAGGAGCAGGGAAAGGGAACAGAGGCAGAGAGACACCATCTAGTTTCTCCCCCCGTTCCCTCTTTCCTGCTGCTTAATCTGCCCCAACTCCGTGTTCAAAAATAAACCCACATTTTTCTGTCAGGAAAAGCTCCCACATGTAAAAACATGCAGTTCTTCCTACCTCAGACTGACCCTGACCAGGAAATACTTGTTTACTTCATGAAAACTTCAGGAAAAAAAACCATTGGGTTGACTCATGCAAGCTACATGATGATTAATTAAAAAAAAGGAAGAAAACAGGATTGCACTGTACATCTTCTGTCAAGTGCACTGAGTCCATGACTCGGTTGGGAAAGAGAACCTATTTGGGGGCAGTACAAGGGACATGACTGATGTCAATTTTAAAACAGTCTAGTCATGATGGTTATTGAAAAACTAGAATTAGATCCTCCACAAAAAAACCTCTGTCCAGGTCTCAGTGTTTTTAAAATAAAAATTCAGCTGCTACCCAAAAATGTGCCATCACTTTTTTCCTCATTTCACTCACATTTTTCGGACAGCATTGTTTGTATCTTTTTAAAGTGGAAATTTTAAGTGGAAATGCTTCATCCCATGCTTAGTCCATACACTTACGGTGATATGTAATAGAGATGTACAATTAATGCTGTCGATTCAGGAAAACATATTTTAATTCTATTTGACCTCACATTATTTTAAGTAATAGAGATTGAAGGACCTAGTTTTTCTAAAAGTTAAGAAATTAGACCTTTGGAGTCAACGAAGACACGATGAGTGAGGATGATCATGCTTAGTAAGGATAGAGAAATCGGTTAACAGATAATCTATCATTGCAAGGATTATGTAAAGAATTCATTGTTTGACAGTTTGACATCAAGATTTATTTGGCTTGAAGGAATGTTTGGAGACAATATACTCATGTCAACTTGCAAATTTATAGAACAGCCAACGTAGTCCTGAGTTTATCTGTGTCACTTCTGTGAGTATCTTTGTCAGGATGTCTCATGTTAAGCAGGATAAATTTGACAAGCACCAATTTGTGAAGATACATTAATAGGATTTTCTCCAATCAGAAAAAACAATGCCAAAATCAATGCCATAAAACCCTTAACACACTGAAAAGAATTCCAACTTATGCCATCAAAGTTCATGTGGTAAAATAAATTGGGATAGAGAAGTGGGTTAAGAGGACAAATTTTTCTTATATACTTGATTGTCTGAGGAAATTAATTGGATAATGCCTAGTAAATCACTGTCCATAATGTTCCACAATTAATAAATACTGTGTGACTCATAGTGATCATCTCATTTACACTGGTACTAATGCCAGTTTAATTTCACTGATGTTGGTGGAGTAACTCCTGATGCATGTGAGAAGGCCTTGGTGGAGTTGATAACAAGACAGGTGTAGCTGTTTTCCTGCTTGCTGCTCTTCTGCCACTCTTTGTAGTATATTGTTGAGCGTGCTGGAAAGGAGTGAGAAAAAAAAAGTCTTGAATTTAATTTTACAGCATGTTAGCTAGAGCATTTAATATATGCTTGTGTTGGGGGTGTTGTGTGTACATCACAGTAAAACTTTTCTGCAGCCTAGTCTGATGTTACTTCTCTGTTGCCAGGCTATGATTTTGCCCCATGCTCAGCCTATGATCTGCTGGAGCCCAGAAATCGGTTTTTCTTTTCTGGCAGGAGAAAAAAGGATGAACTAGGAGGTCAGACATGTCACTAGCCATAGCTGGGTTGAGGTTTTGATGAAACGGATGTTCTGAATTTCTTTGGAAAATTTCCTCGATCTGACCCTTGCCACAGTCTTGTCTTTGGAATGGGGATAGCTCTTTCATACAGCCCAGGGACTTTATAAGGATAACATACTAAGGATTGGAAAGCAATCAAATATTACGGAGTTATATGCCACGATAATTTGACTGCTGGCTGGATTATGAATTTCATCCAGTATGGCACTTCCTTTCCTTTTCTTTTCCTTTTGTTATGATAAAGCCTATGCATAAAGCTGTCAGCATACTTACCACACCAATTTTTAGCTATGTGTGTTGGAACTAGGAACTAACTACCAAGAACGATAACACAGCTGTGGCTCACAGTGGGGAGGATGTAGGAAATACCAGCTTCGGTAAGCCTCCGGCATCCTTCAGAAAGAAGAATGAAAGAGGGTAAAAAATTTTTTATATGTATATGTATGTATGTATATATTTAATAAAATCTAAAAGAAGGAAGAAAAATGATATCAACCTACTGTTTCTCTGACAGAAGCAGTAGTGCCATCCTTTTCCATTATTCCATACTGCAGGTTTCCATGACAGCCTGTCCCGTAGGCAGCAGCAGCCTTCTCTTAGACAACAGACATAGCAAAAACGTCTACTTTAGAAAGGTTTAGAAATCTCCTTGAGTAGCAAAAATGTAATTACATTTTCCGGTCTGGAAAAAGGTATGGTTATACGGGCAGCTTGTAGCTGCTAGGATTAGAAGAGGGCACAGCAACTGCCCACAGGGAGCCCGTGGTGAGAGGAGCCTACTTGTCCCTTCTTTTCTTATGTCACCTGAGACTCCGGGAGCTAAAGGTAAAAAAAACTCGACATAAAATCTGCAGAGATCAGAGTTAATTTTTTTAAGAGGGGGGCTGTCATACAACTGAAAATGCAACTGTGCGTTTGCTCCGGTTTGTTTCAGCGACTGTGCCTGGGGATCCTTAACTACTTCAGGTCCGTGGAGAGAAGCCTGACCATCAGCACCACTGGCCTCTCCTTCAGGGCTGGTCACCTCATTCCCCGTGCAGAAGACACCTCCTGGGTCAGTGCTGCCAAAGGAGGCACTGGTGGTTTCGGTGGCCTGAGTTCACAGCCGTATATTCACTACACGCCAGCTGACTACAAGGTGAGGTGCCACCTAACCTTCAGACTTCCAAAACCTGTGCTTCAACAGGAGTGCCTAATCCAGTTCTCTCTTCCATGCAAGCTGTGTTGTGATCGGTTGCTGAATCATCTGAAGGATTCAGTGTAGCTTGTTCCTCAGAACCACCTGTCTCGCCTTAACAGACTAAATACCTGTATCTACCAGCAGTCTGTAGCAAACCTCTGAGAAACTTCAGGCACGTAGAAGTATAATGTCAATACCGCCTGCCAGATAAACATTTACTAAGACCGGTGCTGCTGGCTGTGCTTAAACTAGGACCTTTGTGAGTGTGGGATTATCACACAGACTAGATGTTCCTGAGAAACCCGAGGCATTTTGCAATTTATGGAAATGTTTGTTTAAGTAACTCCTAATGACTTCTAAAATGTATTATTTAGATATAGGTAGAGTTTAGGACTTACTGTTTTTTAACCTTGGATGAGGGCATGTGGTTGAAGTTATATAATTAGTACACTTAGCTTCACAGATTGGAAAAATAATAATTCTAATCAAATTCCTAAGGCTTATCAAAATTTAGTTTCCCCAACTTTTTTGTAAAATACGCCGAACAGAATCAATATATTATGCTGATATTACTGGTTTGATGTGATATAGTATTTTGCCTTTTGAGCTGTAGAATTTCCTTGCAGTTCTGCTACCTAACACTCATCCCAAAGTTCTCAGGTAGAAAGCCTGAAGAAGCACGATAGTATTTTAATAGGAGTTTTTTCAAAATTTTGAGCTCACATTTACTTATCATTTACTGAAAACTTGTTTGTTTGGGTTTTTTTTTTTCTGTAGAAACACACAGAACCAAACACACAAGTCACTTCAGAGAAGAATTGTGGCTAGAACCAAAAAGGAAGTAGGCTTCCTGCCCCCATTTGTTGCTTTTGTTAAAACTTCAAACCCCCACCCCCAAAAAAAACCCAAACCAGAAAAGAACTTCATGTCCCTAAACATAACAAAATGTAAACTTCTTTGAAAATCAAATGTGTGGGGAGGACATAGAGTTGATGATATTTTTGAAGTGTCTTTAGTTTTATTTCTAGTATGGCCACATTTATCCTTTAAAAATCTAATCAATTAAAATTCCTAAATGAAAAGCTACTTGGAACTAGAAAATTGTGATTTTCCACTTAAGAAATGTTGAACTGGGTGGTCCAGCGTATTTGAATTTTCAAGTCAGAAAAAGTAATTTAAAAACTTATGTTTTCCAAATGGGAGGTGTCAGTTTTCCGGGAAGCAGGCGTTGTGACAAACTCTCCTTCTGAACTCTGCATAATATACATTTATTTTCATTCCTTTTTTTTCTGTGGTAGAAGAAATGATGCGAAGATCAACCCTGACCTTCCGTCTAAGCACTCTCTGATCTGGAGATTAGCTGTGAAATACTTCAGAGAGCCCCTAGCAATGAGAGAGACATTATTTTACAGTGGCCTCTCTTTCCCCTGGACTAGTACATGGATATGGATATATACACTTGAACTTCAACTAAAGCTTAGATAAATATTTACTAATCCTATTACAGTTTAATTGGCAACAAATTTAGAAGCAGGGACAACAGTACTTCCTTAACAACAGTTTCTAATGTGTTGTTTTTTTTTTTAATGTACTGCACAGACTGTCTTTCAAGAACTGAAACAATAACAGAGCCATTTTACTGGCAAACTAATTGAGACCTATCTAACATACTTGCTGGCGCATGCTATAAACCCAAAGCATATGGCATTGTTTTTAAAATACTTTTAGCATCTAATCTATGCCCAAAATTGGAGGCATAACTGTGTTATGAATCCTTCCACATTGTAAGCTGTGAGCCCGTGTGATGGCTCAGCACACAATGTATCTGAAACTGAGATTCTGAGGCAGCGTGGCACCCTCCCTAGCAGACTGCTTGGGATGGAGATCGTCAGAGGCGTGAGTTTCAATGACAGACGGCCCTGCAAAACAATACATTACATTAAATTAAAACTCTTTTCTGTCCCCTGTTGAGATTCAGCTTGGAAGAAAGTAGATAAAATATATGTAGGTGCGTAAGTGTTGCTTTATAACTCAAAAGGGATTTGTTAAGCCCCAGTAAACCTAAGCAGAGCTAGAGGAGGAAAGCCAAAACCTGCAGGCAAAAAACATCGCACATAAATATCCAGTTACTTGATTTGTTGCTATAGACATATAACTGGATATTAACGTGTTTTATAGGCATAAGTAGTATTTAGAAGGCTTGGGTAGTCTCTTTAAAATATGGCTCCCAAAACAAACACAACAGGGAGAAAGTCTTCATTTCTTTTTGGTTTTGTTTTGTAAGAACTCTCCAGTTTTGTAGTCACATGTCACTTCTGCAGAATGCAGTAGTCTTGACTGAGATTTTTAAGAGTGGGACAGAACAGGAATCACCGGAAAAAAATTCAAGAGCTTGAAAGCGGAGATATATCAATGAATGCTCTCCATAAGGATGTTTAAAAACAGAACTAAAAACCCCTTCTACCTGCTATGGTGAAGTCAGCCCAGTATTTGCTCAGTTATTTACCTAAATCAAGTTGAATTTAATTCTTCTATAAAAGCTTTTGATTTAACCTTTAGCGAATTCTGCACCCCATTACTAAGAGTGGTGAAACAAATAGTCTGTTCAGAAGAATAAGGAAAGAACAGGGAGTGCAGAACACCATATCAAAAAAAGCAAAGGAATCTGACCAGGCTGATCCAACATTATGTTCAAATGAGGCGTACATTTTGCAGGGCTGCCTCATTAACTTTATGGTAAAGAATGAATTCTGATCCAGCATAGATCTGTGAAGCTGGCAAGCTGTTCTTCCCAAAACGTTTAAATCTGACTAAGATTTCCATGACTAAAGCGAATACCTTTTCCTTTCCTCCATCCTTTCTTTTAATAGAATTTGAGACATCCAGGTGCTAGCGGGTAAAGTTTGGGTAACATTGGGGATCTTGTAAAGGCAGATGTTAGGAGAGCCAGTGAAAGGAGGAAGTCCCAATACATCGCGCGTCATTATTTGGCACTGAAGTGAGAACAAAGGTGCATTACATACCAGGAAATAGTAAAAAAAAAAACAGTGGAAAACGAGGAGCTTGTATTTGCTTGCCAGCTTCTTAAAAGAAGAACCATTTTTAAAGGCTTCTATGGCTATACCCCTATACCAAGTGTTTATTTACACTTGGGGAGATTAACTTCTGTAATTATACACCTAGAGACAGATGTATGTAATTCCCTTTGTGGCACTCCTAGTCAAGAAACAGAATATTTTGAAAGCTAACGCCACTTCTGCTGGCTGCAGTACTGGATTTTTGCCTGGGGTGTTACCAAGCTGACTAGTGACTCATTGCCAAGGTAGATGATTCTCTTTTAAAGATGCTGATGTTTTTTTAGAAAAGTAAGGTCATTGTAAAGTATTCTATTGAACAAGTGCTGATGTCACAGCAATTTGGGTCATCAGTCAATGGGCGTTCCTTTTAATTAGTGCTAAAGTCTTTGTGTGTGTGAGCTTATCTCCGAATCTTGCAGGTGTAACTTACGCAAGAAGGCTTTAAAAAATATGTTGACTTCATATTTGAATATCAGAATTTAAGACACTTTTTGCCAAATTTCAGCTAAATTAGAAAAAGGGAAAAAAGTTCTACCTTAGTTCAAGAGCTAATCCTCCGGTTTTGATGCCTTCTTGGTGCTTTTTGTGGATTTATATGCCTGAAGGAAAAACGAGGCACAATAGAAATGTCGTACGGTTTGTCTTACTCCATGATAGTATAAATGAAGCCACAGCGTAGGTGTTACCTGTAAAAAATAATATTTTGGCAATATTTTATTTTATTGTGCTTTGCTAGTGACAAAATACCATGTTCCCAGGCCAGGTCCACCCTTAGATACGTTGATTATACAGAATTGCAATCCTTGCAGAGCTGATTGCTTGTATCTCTATGTCTCTTTTTCACGGCATAGGTCCACAGCGCTCAGTTCATGGAGTTTGCAGAGGTGGAAAACCATGATGACTTTCACACTAATGAAGATGGATATATTCACACACAGGACCAGCGAGGGGTTTACATAATACATGATGTGGCTGTAGAGGACCTGAAAGAGCTTGAGAACCAGCTGCTGCTTGTGGCCAGCCAGTACATTGAGAAAGATAAAAGTAAGGTATCTACAGGTCCAAAAGACCGGTGATAATTCCATTTGCTCTTTTCAAGGTAGGCCGATCCTATGATTTCTTGAATCATTGCTGTACTTCTGCAAGACCAAGTGCTGACTGGAATTTTGGGACCTTTCTTTATCCTCCTAGTTAGCTAAGTGATGAATGTGGTACAAAGACCTAACTGAGCATGCGGAATTGCTTGTCACATGTTGTTAATGTCACAGTTTTGCACTTATTCAGGGTCATAGACATCAAAGTCATCCTGGGGGGGGAAATAAGACAGAAGGGACATTTACTGATGTAGCTAAGTAATATAATGAGCAAGCACATCTTCAAGGCACAGAGAGAGAGTCAGAAAACAAAAATGTTAATTGTTTCTGAATGTCTTTTAATTAATGTATTAGATTGCTTTTCTGCAGAACTAAATTTACCTCCCACCACTTTTAAACTTTTTCAGTTGTAAATGAGAAGCTGCAAAATATTTGATGTTCTAGACTTCCTTTTTTCCTGCTGCTTTTTTTTATAGTAAGAACTGAGTTGAGGCAGACTGTATTACAGATTTCTAAAAAGAGCAGCTGTATTTCTAGAATAGTGAGGAGGAAGAAGCTTGTAATTGTAGGAAGTATGGAGGGAGGGCCGTTAGAGAACAGTGAATAAATGCCACAAACACGTATGATATTCAGAGAATTGCACAAAATATCTCTTAAATCACTGGAATTACTTTCTGTATTGGTAGGATATTGTTTCTGATGTTTTAGTAGGCTTCCCTAAAACTGAATGTTCTGACAGACAATGCAGGGCAGAGCTGAGGATTAAGATGACCAAAAACCCTTACAAACCTGCTTGCTAGGACCACCTTTGAAGTCACCTGAAGGTCCTCATCGTGGACCTTTTTCTGGAGCATCTTTCATATGAAGAGAGGCTAAGAGAGCTGGGACTGTTCTGCCTGGAGAAGGCTTAGGAGGGATCTAATCAGTGTGTGTAAATACCTGGTGGGAGGGAATGAAGAAGAGGGAGCCAGATTCTTCTCAGCGGTCCCCACTGACAGGACCAGAGGCAATGGCCACAAACCCAAACACATGAAATTCCATCTGAACAGAAGAAAACACATTTTTACTGTGAGGGTGGTCAAACACTGGCACAGGTTGCCCTAAGAGGTTGTGGAGTCTTCATCCGTGGAGATATTCAAAACCTGACTGGACATAGTCCTGGGCAACCCACCCTAGGTGACCCTGTTTGTGAGCAGGGGGTTGGGCTGGATGACCTCCAGAGGTCCCTTCCAACCTCAGCCATTCTGTGGTTCTGTCACGACAGGAGGCAGACTACTGAATGAGGTAGGGTACTCTGGTAGGCTGGTATAGCAGTTCCTGTGTTTGTACGTGACTTCATTATCACCCTCACACAGTACACTTGAGGACCGATCATGTACAACCTGTCCTAGCTCCTTATGCTCCTTCTTGTTATGGTCTCTTTCTGTGTGCCAAGGCCACAAACGCCTTTAATGCTGACTTCTTCAGTGACCACGGACTTCAAATGACTCTCTTGTTCAGCTTTTGAAAAATAAGACACTTGAAGTCGGGACCTGAAGACTAGCTGCTGAAGCCTCTTCTATTTATTCCATGGCTGATTTTTAACTCTGCAGCTCTAAACATTTCAGATTCATTCTACTTGATTTATCATTTATTGTCAAAATTAGCCTTAATTTAGATAGTATCACAGCCAAGAAACCAAAAGCATGATTTCTTTAAGGATTTGTCATGGACTGCTAGTGTAGAAACATTTGTGGTGATTTTTTTTCCTTCCTTCACAGTGATTTTTAGATTATGAAGACTGACTTTTCTAATAGCAAGCCATCTGAAAAGGAAGCCCTCCCCTGGACTCTGCCCTGCTATATCTCTTTGTAAAATTTACCTTTGAGTACTCCGTGCCGCTTTTCTTTGATCTGAGAGTGAAGGTGAGGAGGTGAAGGCGACCCCAACATGATTTGGTGCTGTGAAAAATTAAGCTTCTCTTCACTTTCCTCCCCTAGTTTTCTTGTGCTTTCTCTGGCTTTATCTCTTGATGTGGGTCTTTTGAACTCCAGCCATTGCCCTTTATCTCAAGGAATATTTGTTAAAAGATGAGGGAAGAGGTATGTTTAAACCAAATGCTTGGTGCGCTTGTTCTTTGCCTTGCAGGATACTCTGGGGCCCTCCAAAGCTTATGGGACTTCAAATCTTTTCCTGGCCTGGGGTTCCCTGGCAAGTAAAAACCACAATGCTGTGCTATAAATAAAAAGAATTACCACAAGCCCTGGGACTCTAGGCATGTGGAAATCCCTCTGATACTGGCATCTGTTTGTTTTCTACTTAAATTTTGGTCTTAGGCAATGTAACTTGTGAGCAATTCAGTGGCAGCAACATCCCTGGCTGGGCACAATGATGTGCTGTGCTGCTTGACCTCTGGACCTGTGAAACTGCTCTCTTGGAAAAAAAATGCCAGGTACGGAAGCTTTTCTTGGTCTGAACACATTAAATTGCAATCAGTTCACTTCAGGTTGTGTAAGGTTCCCTTTCAACAGCATTCCCATTGTGTACACAGATGGATGCCAGAGCCAGCAACCGTGGGTGGTGGTATGGGTTTCAGATGCATTGGGAACCTGGCGCTGGGCTGGGCTGGGCTGGGCGCGGAGGATTGGAGCTGCTGGGTGCTGTGAGTTGGGTCTAAAGGACCGTATGTAATGGCTTTTGCAACAAGAGAGGAGAAATGCTCTTGTTGTCAGACAGCAGCCTCTGTAGCTGCTGTGCCAAGGCTGGAAGCACTTCTGCAAGGCCTTAGGAAGAGTCACCCACCATTGGATAATTGGAAGGATAATTGGAAAGGACAAGGCCATCTCCAAAGCAAAACTGCAGAACATGTGTCCCTCCTTGCGTGCCAGGGAACGGAGCAAATGAAGACTGGGAAGAACCAACTGCAGCCCTGAGGAGCCCGGGCCACCAAGAAGTCCGAGGCGCAAATTTTTTCTGTGGTCCTGGCTGTCCCTGCTTTCTGGGGCTGGTGCAGGAAACTTTTTATGGCTGTCAAGAGAACTGTAATCATTGCATCTTTGTGAAGCCGAGGGAGGAGAGACTCAGTCTGCAGTTGGCTAGGCCCATCATTTGGATTATCCTTTGTCAGAGGGAACCAGAGAGATATTTTGTATGTTACGGCATAAAAACCAATCCATTTATTAATAAAACCTATATATAAGATTATACATATATTATAAATCTATTTCTTCTTTGTTAGTTAATCTACTTGAGCAAAAAATGCCATGATATAGCATGGAGTTAGAAAAAAACAACAAACAAACTAAAAGTAAAAATGTGTCTTAAGTGATTCGTAGCTTTGCCACTCACAAGGGCTGCTGCATATCCTGCGGGCTTTCCCCTTCCTCTCTCGGAATCTAGTCATGTGTCTGTATTTTGCCATGGGACATGAAATCATACAGGGTTTCTGCCCAAAGGCTTCAGTCTTGAAAGATGAAGAGTAGACAAGTTCAGAGGAAGGGACCCAGAGGAGCTTGGAAGCATATTTCTGTCTGTGGGACTCACCAGTCCCAAGGACAACGCTGTGAGTGTCAGGAAAGGAGCAGAGAGTCCACTTGGGAAGCAGGGGAAATGGCACTAATTGAGGTTGCCTTCACACACTTGAAAAGTTTTGTTCTCAGTCCTGGAGTAACCCAGGGCAGCTCTCAAAATAGGAATGCTAGAGGGTGTTAGGGAATCTCCTGTGTACCATTGAAGAGGCTTCAAATAGAAAACCTTTTAAACTAAAATAGTTGTATGTAGTTTAGGAAATCTCCTAAGGCCACTCTCCTGTTTTTATGGTGTTACAGAGCTATATAAAATACTGCCTAATTGCCTAATTCACTAAGTTTCTGTTCTCATCCCGATAGACTTCGCTTTCCATTGCTGTATGATCATGCTACCTCTGTGAATCTGCCTTTTATTTTTATCACGGGCCTTCTGTATAAGGAAACTTGCTTTCTTTTTGGAAGAAAAACTCCCCCTAGAGAAGAATGAAACCTCTACAGCCACAATACACTAATTCTTTTCCAAACCCATCAAAGAGTATATTCTGGAACTGCTCTCACAACCCAACTCTCTAGGCAGGATTAAATGTACAGATGTGCTGTTGCTGGAGGTCTTTTGCTTTTAGCTGAAATGAAATGGAAGTCAGTCTCGCCAGCTTTGTTTCCAGCTGGGACGGAGTTCTTTCTGAATGAGGAAACAATAACCCTTTGCCCAGCAGCTGAGACAGCTTAGCTTAGCCAATATAAAACTTGCTTACGGCCTATTGCAGTGTCTTAGCTTCCTCCAGAACAGTTCATGTCTGGCAGGTCTACATGAGAAAACTTGACTGTTTCCATTGAAATCTGAATTCTCAGCTACCGAGTTACCTCCTAAGCCCTTCTGCATCTTCCTCTTCCACAGTCTTCTGGTATCAGTATGGAAAGTAACGTGGATGCTTTTCTACTTCCGTGTCGATGTAAAATAGCCAGATGTAGATCATTTCATATTGACATGACCGATTTGTCCAGAAGCAAGAGCACTGGCCGCTCATATTTTCAATCCCCTAATAGCCATCTGACCAAAAAGTGCTACAATGTCATCTCGAGAGTTCATGTGCTGTCATGCTTGACACATTTCTTTTTCTGTCCTAAGCTGTGGGTATTTGTAATTAACTTTTTTAGTTAAATAAAACCTTACAGCTATTCTTGGTAGAGGAGCCTGAAGAGGGCATGCGTCTTTGTACATCTTTAATTACCTCTTCAATTAATTTGGAGTTTCTCCAAAAAATGTAAAATAACTGTGACAGTCATTGCCAAATGAGATAACAGAGAGATTTGTATGAGTCTGCAGGTTTCATGTTGGGGGAAGTGGAGTTTTTCAAAGACATGAAACCAGTGTGTGTGCTGGAAAAGAAACAGAGAATGGATTAGAGTGGAAAGAAGTAGGTGTTTTTAAAGTAGCAAGTACATTGCAATGTTACTTCTTGAAGGGAAAAATGTGCAGAATAAAGATCTTCATGCTTCAGTAGGAAAAAAACATCTTAACTATGCAAGATTTGGAGGAAATTTCTTGTATGGGCAGTTTATTCTATGTTCTGTTCTTGAGCCTTCTGATGAAGCATCAAGTAATATCCTGTGCCAGAAACAAGATGCTGTATCGGGTCACAGTTGGTTTGATACAGGCGGCAAACTCCATGTTTAGAAATCTCCCCCCCACAAAGAATGAATATTTGGGTGAATAAACGTTTCTAAATGTGCTTCTGAATATCTCTTCAGCTTCTAGATGTTTACTTTGAAGCTTACCAACATGCTTTGGACCCAGAGTAAAGATTTGCTTTGGCCCAAGCGATAACTGACATCGTGCATAAACATCCAAGGTTTGATCTCAAGCTTGAATATTTTGTCAGCACCTACAAGGATGAATGCATCTGTTTGCAACTTCACTTCCAACTGCTGAGGGACATAGTAAACCAACAAGTAGGTTGAATTTACAGTATATCCATCCTGGGGAAGCAGGAGATGAAATCCAGAATGCGAAGCTTTGATTATAGCCTGCATGGGTTTACAGTGTTAAAATGGGTCGATACTAATTTAACAATGAATTCTATGGATGCTCTGTAAATTGAAGGCCTGAAGCTCAAGAGCAGAAAGCTATCATTTCATCAATATCAGAAAGAAAATGTTGGAAAGGTTGCAGAGCTTCATATGTCATGCTAAAGCAACATCGGCTGCCGTTTGAGACAATTAGAAATAGTAGTTGAGAGGCGTGGAAGCTAAATAAAACTGTAATCTGTATTTGTTCTGTAATGCAGTGGATAAGGAGCTAGTCCTGTTTATAGTAAGAGAGAAGAGACTTTAAAAAGAATATAAACAAAGCTTGTGCTTTAAAGTGCACTTTGAAAAGCACTATATTTCAGATAGCTGTGAATTCCTGTGCTAATAATTAAAGCACGACATTTGAAATCCTCACATTTTTCCTCTGGTTTAAAAACCTGCCTCAGCTTTCCTCTGTATCTTGCCACAAGAGATTTCCTTTCTCTGAGTTTTGATTTCGGAGGCTGCAAGTTGGGAAGTTTAATTAGCTAACCTTTGTAACTTGGCTTTTGGTCCACAAACAGAAGTTTGGGTTTGGGTACAAAAGTTCTGCTGTTGTTCTGCTGTTGCCATTAATGCTACCATACTGCTAGCAATAAAAATGGAGCCTTGTCAGCATCGTTGGAGCTCAGATTTTGTTCTGAAGGAATATGAAAGATTCAAAATAATTTTATCAGGAATAATTCATCTAGAGTGGGTACATATATAACTGACTTGAACATTTTTATATATATAAAAATAGAAATTTTTGCAGCTTATGTTTAAATAAAGAATAGTTGGGTTTGCCTTGATTTCTAGCTGCGTGTGAATTTTATTGGCTAATGTCACTTGTGTTTATTGCTGAGCTTTAGATAGATGTCCAGAGGGAATATGTCCACAAGATTTGGCAGGAAGGTCAGAGAGGTGGCATCAGTGAATTTGGACTTCCTTATAATGTAATTACTAAGCAGCCTATCTCTCTTAACACTAGCCTGTGAGTAATTATAGTTTTATTTTTCTGGAGAGTACCTCATTCTGTTCTAGTTTCTGCGATTATTGTAAAAATTTGAGATCCAGCACCTGAAAATAAGACTATTTGAAAAAATGACAGTCTTAAGGTGAATCAAGCAATAGATGAGTGTCTCATGTTATTTAGTCCCATGCTATTTAGATAGCCAGGAAAACATTCAAAGAAGAAAAGTGATTCCTCCCCCACTGCCTTTACACTACCCTTTCCTGACAATGGGTTTGATAATTGCATCTTGCAGTGCACTGGGACATTAATATTCCCATGGGTTAAACAATAACTAAATTAAATTAAATTAAATTAAACAATAATGACGGAAGTGGGTATCGAGGTTAGCATCGCTTTAGACTCGCTGCATCACTGTCCTGACCCGGCTTCACAGCTTTCACAGTCTATTACTTTGGCCACAGTCTATTACTCTTTCTAGTGCAACCGTCCGGTTGGATGTGCGTGTACCACGTTTTCACACGTGGAATCCACATGTCACCTGCAGTACAGACCTGCCACATGTCCCCCATCGGCAGCTGTGCAGCACTGTGGGTTATTGCGAAGGGTTTTCACAGCAGCTGATACACACCCAGAAGCAAAGAGCCCCTTGCCTCTGCTCCCTTCTGGTTTCCTGCCTCTGTCTCGAGCCCCTTGGCCCTATTCCTCCCCCTACGCACATGTTGACGTTGTGTTGGTTATCTGAGGGCTTCTTTTCAAGTGCGGACAGTTTTAATGGGCGGGCATAACAGATGTGAAAATGCAGTTAATAAAACATGTCAGCTAACAAAAGAGAATTTTAAACATTTTCTGTTTTCATTAGTAAATGAGACTACTGAGATGTGTTCCAATATAATTACGTTTATTAGGGCTTCAGTTCTATTTTCAGATTTGATGATTGATTTCTGATGTGCACTAAAGCCATTGCAATTTATTCTTGCAAATTAAGCAATTGCAAGGTTTCTTTATATATGCAATTTATAAAAGCCTTATTTGAGAGCTATTTATTCTTTCTTTGGTTTTGTTGTTGTTAAGTCCTACTTTGAAGAACATTTAGTTGCTGGAGTTTCACCCTTCTCTTGGTCTGGTGTGCTTGATCCCCAAAGCTCTTGAGTATATCTACCAGGAATTCTACAGCATCTGCTGACCAAAAACAGCCAGTAAAGCAAGTAATCTAGAAAAACAAGTACTTCAGCTAGTGGTTGATGAGTGGCTAACTATGGAAAACTCAGAAACTTTTTACAGCTCTCAGATTCAAGAAGACGTAAGTTCCATTTTTATGTTAGTAATGACTCTTTAAAGCAGAATGCCCAAGAGTGTGATCTTGCTAGTTCATTTATGCTTGCTGGTTAAAATTCTAGCTATGTGATTCTTAATTCAATTATTTGCTTATGATTGGTGAAGATCCGTTCCATCCACCTTTAAAACAAGACTTTTTTCTGTAAATGAACACAGAAAGGTAGAATTCTTAATCTCGTGCCAGTATAAAGTAGGAACAATCAGCTTAATGAGAAGGAAAACACACACACTTAAAACTTATGTGAGATCATGGTAAGTCTCCAGGTTTTGCATTTGTGTGTGTGTACAGTCTGCAAAAAAAAAAAGACTGGACATTAAAGCAAATATTGTTATAGGTGGAGCCAGTTATTACTGTAATGTCCACCATTTCCTGGTCTAGAACACTGAATTTGGTTGGTTATAATTTTGATAAATGTTAATTATTGTGAATGAAATTATCGATGTTGGATATCTCTATCAGGTTTGGTTTTTTTTTAGTCAGCTTAGTTGTTGCTGAGAGCAAGAAATGGAAAAGAAATTATTTTATCTGTTTTCTCTACAAGACTGTGATACAGCTATGCTTTGGAGCATACATTTCAAGTTTGGGAAGGCTCATTAGGTAGTGATATGCTATGCTTTAATTCCTGCCAAGTTTGGCCAGCATAAACTAAAATACGCTATTGCAACATGTTCAGTAGGAAGACATTATCTGAAGTTTCTGTGTGCCCTGGTATATCTATAACCTGAGGCAAATCAGGACTTTCCACTGTCCCTGCAATAATAGCTCTGGTCTAAGCGATCCATGTTTGAGCATTGAAAGTGAGTACGAGAAGCTGTTAGCCTGCACTGTCACTCGCGTTGCCTTCACTGGAGCCGGCGGAGGAAGATGGCTGAGCAGATCGCAGAGGAGACGCGGCAGCTCTGCTAGTGGAGCAGGAGCCGGGCAGGAGCACGGAGAAAATACAAGTGGCTTGGTAAGTGGGATGACAACCACTAAATGGGAATGAAGATTGAGACAGATGAAAAGCTGGGAGACAGAGACTAGGACTAAGACCCAGTGGGTTTCTTCCTTTTGAAAAGAAAAGATATGGGGAAAAAAGTGCACTGCAGATCGGGGCTGGGGCAAGGAGGCACCTCAGGTCGGGGTGGAGAGTTCAGAATGATTGGATAAAGAGATTGGATCAAGCTGTCCAAAAGCAGTGATAGTACAACTTGCTAGTCAAGGGAGCGGGGATGAAAATGAAAAGTTTGAGGCATGGAGGTGCAACTAGTTAGATGAAGAGACTGTGAAGACAGTGATGGGTAAGAAAGTATAGAGGCAAACTAAAGGCAGAAGGGCACAGCCACCTAGGATACTCCCTCCCTGGAGCAAAACCTGCCCTGGAGCAAAACCTGCCCTGGAGCAAAACCCAAGAATTACTTATCCAGCATCAGTCTAATGCCAATAAAATCCGTTGGCAGTGTCCCACTACTCTCTTGTCCACAGCAGATCATGAACGATTCTTTGCTTTTTTAATTTTAAATCCTAGAAGTCAGTGGCAGAGTTCTGTGGTGAATCTTAAAGTTACCACACTGCTGTTGCCAAGGGGGAAAGGGAGGGGGTTTGTTGTGTTTACTTCTTGCCCATTCCTTTTCCTCCAACAGAAGCTCCAGATGAGACAAACACACGCAAGCAGGTGATGTTTAGAAAGACACTAAGGTTGAAAAAGTCAAGCATTTAAATTTTAGGAAATTTACCTTTGCCAGAGCAGATTTAATTTGGTTTCCTTTTGCATAGCCATGATGATGCAGTCTTTATATGATCACATTTCTTTTCTTTATGACTTGGTATGCTAAAATCAACGTTTCTGTCCTTCTTGGACTGCTTCTTTTGTGACCCTGGACCTCATTCTTCCATGTTATTCCAACCCTTCACTAAGGACGGTTTTACAAGATCCAGTTTTTATTCCCCATCTGACTTCCTAAATCTTTCAACTTCACAATAAACAAATTACCTACAGGTGAGGTACAGGTGCTGCCAGCCTGGGAACAGGTGCTTTTCCTATGAAGAAATATCAGACTGCCAAATGAAAAGAAAAGTGAATTCTGGAATTAAAAGACTAAGTGATCCCTGGGAAGCTGTGAGGTCTTTCTTGCTCACCCCAAGCCAGGATCAGCTATACCTATGTTATTCCCGTGAGATAAATAGATGTTCTTAAACACATCATGTGGTAGACTTTTTCAAGCAGTCTGTTGTAGTGCTTCACCAGCTTCACCTTTAGCAAGTTCTCCTTAAAGTCTAGCACAGATGTGCCTCGCTACAGTCTAAGCTTATTACCTCTTCTCTTGTCCTCTTTGGAAATAGGGAAGATGCTGTTGCCCTTGTAGCAGCTCTGTGAAGAAGCACATAAAGATGGGTTGTCCTGTTCTACCCATCCAGAGTCACAGAATTACAAAAGCACATTATAAAGCATTGGGGGAGAGGGACAACATGAAGTTGCACAACTTCTGACACAACTTTGGGGTGTTGTCTTTTCAAACTTTTTTTTTGCTTTTTAGTGTAGCTGTGAAGGTGTAGCCAATGGCAGGTGTTGAAATCTGGACTTTTATTACTAATAACTGCATGGCTGGGTTCAGATTTCCTCATGTTCTGTGATTCATTGGTCATAAGCAGCAAAGCGTGAAGCCACTCAGCTATAACAGCGGCCACATCTATCCTGTCTGACACGAGCAGGGTGGCACAGTTGTACAGGTTGTGACAGCCAGAGACAAGGAGCATCTTCTCCTGCACACAGAGCCAGGAGCTCTTCCTGCCACCTATTCCACAGCACAACAGCCAATGGACCATTTCCTTCTTTCCAGCTCTTCACGTTACCGAGCTGCAGCTTTTGATCATTTTTCTTTTCTGGGGTTTCTGCTCTTTTGGAGGCTGCCACCGTCCCAGTAGAAAAGGAGTCCAGCTCTGCTGAGTTAGCTGACCATATGAATTTGCTGTCCCCATTTTGGGAGCATCATACATACAGTGGCACGTGTGCAGGGATCTGTACATTTAGAGGAGGAATGGCCTCAGCTAGTAATAACTGAACCAAGTTGCAGAGCCCCTGCTTTAGAGAGGTTCATACATCTGAAAGCGTTCTGAATTTTGATTATAATAAAAATGGCAAATATCCTGTGTTAGATATAAAAAATAAATAAAATAAACTTTGTTAAGTCCTTTGAGTAAAGCCAGGTTTATAGATTCAGCGTCTTTACCTTCGAAGCAAGTGGCAAAACGTCAGTGTATTTTTAGGGGTCAGGATAGGTCAGGGTAAGCACAATTCTGACCTTGCATGGGTTGCAAGTCAGAAGCAACTCCAGTCATTATTTAGTCCAGAAAAAGAAAAAGGAGAACGGTCCCCTAAAGTCTTTAAAGACTTTGTCATCGGTATGTAAATTATTTCTGTGTTTCCTTTTTTTCCCTTTCCTTGCTGAGGTACTGATAGAAGACCCCGTGCTCGTGCAGGAGATTGCTCTGTCACTATTAGAGGTGGGAGCAGACGAAGAAAAAAAGACAGCCAGAGAAAACCAGCTCTTTATCCTGGATTCTTTCTCCACGCTCCGCCATCAGCTGATAGAGGAGGCGACCGAGAGTGCGCGGTTAGCCAGGTTCGTGGGTCAGTTAGTGCTGTTTTAGCTACGGTGACCTCAGAGAGATGTGGCGTGTA